AGGCTGAGGGTGGATGTAGAAGACAGCAGATGCTCCCCACCTGGCAATGCTCCCTCAGTTAATTGTACTAACCTGTCCATTCACTAGGTATGAAAGCAGGATCAGATGGCCATTCCCATTTGGCAGAAGGTCATGCCTGTGCCCTTGAACTCTAGAGGGTCTCAACTGCTTGGGCATTGAAAATAAAACCAGAATGCTGACAACCCTGAGGGTAGCATCTGATCACTTCTTAATATTATGTGAAGTGGAAAATGAACTAGATGTGATGGATTGACAGCATCTCTTGAAATGTCCCTAAAATTAAATATTTTTGAAAGGCATAGACCCTACAAGGACCAAAGGAATGTAAGAAGAACCAACAGCAAATGCGATGACAACTTTCTGGAAGTCTGAGTAGTTCATGCGTTGGCAGAGCTGGATTCAAAGTGCCTACAGAAGGAGAGGTTCCCCCCTTGGAAAATAAGCAAGCAGTACCCAGTACCCGTCTTCTCAGAATTCTGGACTGTCCCAGGACTCAAGCATCAAGCTTCTGACCTGAGGAGGAGGGGTGAGGCTAAAAACAGGTCAGTGGCAACTTCTATACAGGAGCAACTGGCTCCCAGAATACTCCTTGCCCAACACTAGATGGCTGTTTTATTTGCTGACACAAAGGGCAGGAAAAAAGTAAAAAGGCTTTGGTTCTGTGGCTCCTTGTCATTGCAGCCAAGATCTCTGCAAATATTCCACTTTATCTTCATCATTGGGAGAGGATTAGTCAGCTCCTACCATCATGTCCTGGGCAAGATGAGAGGGAGGAAGAGAAGGAAGCAAACAGATCCCGAGGCTCCCATCCATTGGGAAAACAATGCTTTCCCAAAGATGGCCACTTCTGGGCTGAGGTTTGCTTGTGACCCTTTGCCATCCTTGAGTTCCACTGCCACACTGTTTACAGGGAAATGGTGGGGACAAATACTAAGCATTGCCACCTCTGTAGGAGGGAGGAAAGGCAGGCAGGAGCAGTGGGCTGAGTGGGATGAGGGAGTTTCCTGGCAGGTGTGCTAGTCAAGTGGGCAGCCAGTATCAGAGGCGTCTTCTTTTGGGCTGGCTGGGTCTCGGTGTGGGCTTCCCTGGACACCTGCACTGGGAATGTGCACGCAAAAGCCAGAGTCCCAGCACCTACAGAAGCGGGGGTGAGAGCTCTCAGTAGACCACCTTCCTCTCAGGGAAACTCCTCACTCCTGCCTCTACTATCCCAGAGATCGGGCTGATTGGGGAAGGATTAACCTCTGGCTGGAAGACTCTGTTGGCCTTCATTGGGCCACCCCGCATCTCCACTGTCCAAGATGCCTTCTACTCCAGGGCTTCTGGATTCTGAGACCTGAATATGTTTGCTTCTTTACCACCTCCACCTCAGAAATTAGCAGAGTGGAAAAAACAGAAACACAAGAGAGTTACTACTCCTCCATCCACTTGTCAGCTTCAGTCCCTCACCTCTATGGAAAGTGGATAAATAAAAGGTGGTGGATGCATAATACAGAATGCTCTGCTGCTATCAGAAGCAAAGAACTGGCTGCCTACACCACACCACAGATTAAGCTCAAAACCAGAGAATTGAGGGAGAAACATAAGAAGAGAATGAAATCTAGAACAATACCCATTTATATAAATGAAAAGTGCATACACACAAATGGCCAATAAACCATGAAAAAGTGCTTGATTTCATTAGTCATCAGGGAAATGGCAATTAAAACCACAATGTGAAACCTCTATACACCCACTCAAGTGACTAAAATGAAAACGACAAAAATACCAAGTGCTGCAGAATGTAAATGACTGAAAATTCTCATACATTCACTGATAGTGGAGTGTACATTGGTAGAACCACTTTGGAAAACTGTCTGGTGGTGCATACTAAAAGTTCACACATGCTCTCATATGACTCAGCAGTTACATTCCCAGACATGTGCCTGGTATAATGGGTACTTACACTCTCCAAAATTCATGCACTAAAGTGTTTACAGTGTGTGCATCATAGGAACCCCAAACTAGAATCTGGAGGCACTTCTCAGCCATAAATGGATAAACACAGTTTGGTAGATGCATTACAATGGCATTCAGTATAGTAATGACAGCAAATGAGCTACAACAACAAACAGCAATTTGGATTAATCTCACAAACATAAAGCTACTAGAGCAAAGCAAGCAGAGGGAATTTGATGGTGGTATAGTAGTTAACTGCAGGTGGCAGTGACAGCGACAGGAAGAGAAAATGAAAGGGGCTTCCAGGGTGGGGTTCTGCTTGGTTTCCATGTGCTGCTTATACTTATATGTCCAACTGGGGAAAAGCCCTGACTCGAACACTTAGAGAACAAACATCTTCCGGTATATAGGTCCACAGAGGAAAAACATAAAAGGAATGGCCTGGGCAGTAAAAACAAAACACATGTGCACAAACAATACTACATATTTTATAAAGGTATGTACATGCTTGAAGACCTGCTTTTTGTTTTTCAGTACTAGAGATCGAACCCAGAACCTTCACACTGAGCTACACTCACAGTCCTTTTTAATTTTAACTTTTTAAAATTTTGAGACAAGGTCTCACTAAGCCACTAAGTTGCCCAAGCTGGGCTTGAATTTACGGTCCTCCTGCCTCAGCCTCCCAGAGCACTGTGATTATAAGCATGTGGCACCATGCCCAACTAAAGACTTACTTTATCTATTAGAGATGGCACTTGTGTGTGGAGAGAATTGGCAGTGGGGTAGTGGTAACAGGGAAGAGAAAGTCATGAGAGAAGAGTCTTACAGGGATCCCCAGCGACAATGTGCTTAATCCAACCTTAAACCTGAGGTGGGGGAGTGTGGGGTAAAGAAACACTGGTCTCAACAGACCTTTGAGGCTCTCTGGCCGCATATTCCTCTCACTGCAGCCCAGAGCATGGCAGGGCTCCCTGTTGGTTGTGCCATCTCCAGATGCCGGTGCCCTTCCTGCAGGCTGCAGCCTCTCCCGGCCCAGAGTCCTGGCGGACCCTTCATGAGGTCACGGCTCTGACTGCTCTTTCTCGTGGGATCCTCATCTCACCTCCCTCCCCGTTTCAACTCGGAGCGCATCTATTCGTGGATTTGGCCCTCACCCAGCAGCACTAAGGAAGAACGTGGAAACCCTACCTGTGCCAGGTAGAGAGGGAAGAGGAGCTCTCTACTCCCATCCGCAGCACCTGCTCTTCCAGCCCTCTCTCCTGCTTGGCCCTTCGTCCGTAGGCACGAATCTTCATTTGAATCTTCATTCTGTATCCAGAAGCGGGTGGTAGAGTATCTGGAGGAGGGTGGGACCGGGCTGCTCCTGCACTCTCCTCCTCCGTACTGCCAGTGAGATCCGGGAAGGCGCGAACACACTCGAGCTCAAAAGCGGAAGCTGACTGCGCGTCTCGCTCTGGCCACTAGTGGGAGCTGCTGGCCAACCTGAGGCCGGGCAGGGGCTGAAGCGGGCCGTAGGTCTGTGGTCCATGGGTCGGGCCAGCCTAATGCCTCGCCCTACTGAGAGGCAGAGGGTCCTGCGTCCTGCGCATTCCCACAGACTGGCTTTTACTGAGCCCCTATGAAAGTAGATTCTTCCTGTTCGTGTGAGGCACCCAGTGACCCCTGGAGCTCGGTATCCAGGTCCCCAAGACACTCCCCATCTTCACCTCTTCAAGATCCCAGTAACGGAGGGGCAGCTCCAGCATCTTACGCTTCCAAAGCCAGTACCTCAGTGCCCTCCGAGACCCCAGCACTCGTTTGCCTTCCAGGAGTGGTTCTTGCTTCTAGGGGACTCGAAAATGAGGGAGAGAAGAAAGTAAAATGCTGTTGTAGATGAAAACAATGTGTGTGTGAGTGTGTGTGTGTGTGTGTGTGTGTGTGTGTGTGTGTATGCGCTTCTGGGACGGCTCTGAGCAGTGGCCACTGCAAGTAGGGAAATGCGCTGTCCCTTCCCACAGCCTCTGGGCAAAGGCTGGTGGTCCATCTGGTTTGGACAGGAGAGGTGAGCTCTCCCGACTCTGGGCGCTACCTCGCAGCTCCAGGTGCATACATGGGTGCCCGCGTGTGCAAGGACGTCTCTCGGAGTGTGTGCACCCCTATAACAGTGTCCTTGTGTGAGACCGTGGACATGTCAGTGTGATTCTGGGTCTCTGTGTGTGTCACGGTTATACAAGGCTAGAGGGCTGAGTGTGACCGTGCATCTGCATTTGTGGGGGTGTTTGTGCGTGTGTTGGTTGTGTGATTGATCTGGATTCTGTCAGCACATGTGCGTCTATGTGTCTGTGGATGTATCCACTGTTGTGCCAGCTTCCATGCTGTCACCGTGTGTCCCTAGGGTAGTGTGGCTCTATGTGAGTGTGTGCTGTAGCAGTGCCAGTGGATGTGAGTTGCTGAGTAGAGAAAAGTGTCCCTGAGTTTGTCAGGGTGTCTGCCTCAGTGTCAGTGTGTGTCAGCGATGTGTCTGTCCGAGTCCATGTTCGTGTCCATGTGTGTGAGCGCAGGTGTGTGTCTGGGTCAGTACGGATGTCACAGATGTCTGCGCCCACGTCCACAGGTGTTGGCGATGGGGTCCCAAGTCTGCGAGAAGGGGTGTGTGTGTGCACAAGCGCATGTGCCCTCGGTCGGCTTGGCGCGTGCCTGTCCGTGTCGGCGTGGGTGGCTCTCCCTGGCGACGCGTCCCCAGGTCGATGTGCGCACGCCGCCGTGCGCAGTGTCCGTGGTCGGTCCGCGTCCGCGTGGGCGCTGTCCATGGCGGGGCGCCCCGGGTCGGCACGGGGGTGTGCGCCCTGGAGAGGGCCGCGAGGGGAGCGCCACGTGCGGAGCCCGGCTTGTCGCTCTGGGGCGGAGCCAACCCGGAGCCCCGTGCCCCAGGCCGAGCCCAGGCGGGGCCCGCCCCCGACCCCGCCCCCAGCCCGCGCCCGCCCGCCGAGCCCAGAGCCCTGAGCCCGAGCAGAGCCGGAGCCGAGACGGCCGCGGCGCCGTGGGATGCGGGGATCGCGCCCCCGGGGCTGCTGAGCCTGCGCCCGTGCCCAGAGCCGGGGCCGAGCCGCGTCCGCGCCCATCGCCGCCGCCCGGTGCGGGCCAAGCGGGGGACCCCAGGTGAGAAGCAAGCGCCCCAGCGCCGGGCGGCCCGGCCCGGCCGGAACCCCTCCGCCCGCCGCCTCCCAACTTTCCTCCCCGAGGGCCCGAGGCTCCAGCCCCTGAGCCTTTCTGCTCTGCCCGGGTCTGCCCGGCCGCTCCCTCCCCCATCGCGCCCCCGAGGCTGAGCCGGGAGCAGAAGGGGCGCAGCGCGAGCTGGCTATGGGGATCCCCCGGGGGGCGTCTCTGGTAGCTGGCGCCCCCTCCTCTCCCCTTTCCTTCCGGGTTTCCCAGTGCGCTGTCGAGGGCCGGGGGAGGGGGAGCTCCGGCCCGGGCTTCCCGGGCCATCCTTGGCGCAGGCTCCGGGAGGGTCTGGGATTGGGACCCGGATTCCCGAGGCGGAGACCCCAAGGTCAGAGCCGCTACAAGGCACGCAGTCAACGTGTTCCCAGAGAACGGGGCTGAGGGGGACTGGGAATGGGAGAGAAGGCCAAGCACCCCGTCTCTGGGCGCTGAGGAGCCTTCAGCCAGGGCTGTTTTCTCTGTTGGACGAGATCTCTGCGTGGCTTGACAGATCTCCGTGTGCTCTAACGCAGGAGAGATCTATGTGCGTTTCCTAGCTCTGAGCCCCAAGACCACGAGGAGATCTCCGTGCCCTCTGACGCCCTGAAGTGGCTGTGTCTCCTCTGTCTGGTCTATGTGTGGGGGCGCAGAGAGGTCTCGAGGCGCTGAGATTCAGAGGAGTCCTCTGCCCTCGCTGCTCTGGCCTGGTCAGACTCACCCCTTCGGGAGGCTGCTCTTGACCTCTGTTATTTCCTTGTCTTCCGTGGCGCTGTGGGAGGAAGTGGAGGTGCCTCCTCGGGTGGCCTTGTCTGGGGGGCTGGTGGAGGCAGAGATGTGAAGAATGGCGGTGGCAGAGGTGCCGCTCTGGGGAGACACAGGGGACAAGGGCCTGGCTGCAGGCTGCCTCACAAACAAACACCTGTTGGAGGGCAGCACACCACAGCCGCGGCCCAACTCATGCCTTTCTCTTTAGTGCCTGGAGCCCAGCCTGGGGACATGGGATAGGGACCCTGTCAAGGTCCTAGGCTGGCTTTCCACTCCCTGGCTGTCTGCTCACCTCTGGCTGAGACTTCAAGCACCTCTCTCCCAGGGTCACTAGACCCACTGGGATGGTCTCCCAGTGGCAGTCAGCCAGCGAACCTCATAACCTCCAGGACAGTGGGCATCTCGCCCCCTCCCAGCTTCCCACCATCCCCATGGGCCTAGATCAACTCGAGTCCCTGCCCTCCACAGTGTCTTCTGCTCTCATCCCTGCCTAGTGAGAACTGGACTGGTTATATGAGTGGTGGTGATGAGGGTGGACTGAGGAAGGGACAGGCAGACATCACAGGAGTATGGGGGCGGGTGGGGACAGCCGAGGTATAGAAGAGATTCTTTGCTAGCATGGCCAAAGTGCTTCGAGAGCACCATTAAACTTTTAACATAACCCTATCACCACCATGTTGTAAACGTAGGGAAACTGGGGGCCAGGGGGCATCAAGGACTTATTCAAGGTCACACAGAAGGTCACTGGATCCAGGGCACCACTCTGGATGGAGGATCTGAGCAGAAAGGGAAGTAGCCTTCAGCTAGTGTGGCTTGGACAGCCGTTGCACTTACTCTAGGGGCTTGGCATCGTCTCTATGTGGTGAGCAGCACTCCTCTGGAAGAATTCCAGGATGGACTCTCAGCCTGAAGAGTGGGCCTGGAGGAAAGGTGGGAAGCACCAGAGAGAGCTGGGGACACGGAGCGCGAGAGGCCGGTGACCGTGGTATCCACAGAGAAGGGAGTCCCGAGAACACTCGACAGTCATACGTGGAAGCCTCTGTTTCACAAGAGGCCAGTTCCTGCTGATCCTTGGGGAGGTTTTTGGAAGATGTCCAGTGGTAAAAGTGTGACCCCAGAGCCCACTCAAAGGAGGAGTGATTACCTTTGGCCAGACAATCGAAAGTCTCTTTCTAACAAAATAACCTTCCACCTGGGTTTTGGAGGATAAATAGTTTTCCAGGTGAGGACAGTGCAGTCCAGCCCTCGGAACTGGAATGTACTAAAGCAGGGAGATAAGAGACAGCACGGATGTTAATTAGTTGCATGATCTGTAGGGTCCATGGTGCAAGGGAGAGAAGAACGGAGTGAAAGCCAAGTAAGTCACGGGAGCCCTTGTGAGCTCTGCTCTGGAATTGAGAATTTATCCTCAGTAACGCTGTAAAAGTAGCTAACATGAACTGTGTGCTTGCTGTGGGCCAGGGGCACCCTGAGCCCTTTGTGAGGCCCTTCTCACTGTAACTCCTTGCATCACCATGGGCAGCAGGAACAATAATGGCCACTTTGCAGAGGATGAAACTGGGGTCCAGAAAGTAGAGCAGCTGCACCCTGTCACACACCTACTGGGCAGCAGAACTCGGCCCGGTGTCAGTGGATCTGCTCTGTGTCGTGCCGCCTCCCCAGAGCAGACTGTGGGTACTGTGGGAAGTCTTTAAGTTGAGGAAGGGGTGACAGGCAGGTTACTACAGGTGTCTTCGTCCCCATGAAGGGATGCACTGCTCTGCCGTCCCTGACTTCAAGGGCTTGATAAGGAGGAGCATGGCCCGTGTCACTCTGTGAGAGGGGAAGGGCAAGCAAAGCCCAAAAAATGGAGGGAAGGGGAGAGGTATTTCGGGTTCCCAGAAGAACTGCTGGCCTCCAGCAGGGAGTTAGGGGCATGGATCAGGAAGGACATGCCCTCCGGAAGGGGGTCTGGGCTGGAGACCGGAACTTGGAGTCCTCAGCCAAGGCTGGTGTGCAGAGCCAGCAGTGAAGTGAGAGTCCAGAGAAAACGCAGACCTTTGATTCTCAATACTGGCAGCATTAACCTCACTTGGAAAACTTTCCATAAAAATACCCATGCCCACTCCAGCCACTGATACAGTTGGTCCTTGGGAGGAGCTTGAGCAGCAGTGGGTTTGTGGTAGAGGGGGTGAGAGGGAGGAAAGTTGAGTCAGGAGCCCAAGGGCACTTCAGCAGTGAAGGCCTAAGTCTACGAGGAAGGCTGGGAAGAAGCAGCCAGAGAGGAAGAAGGAAACCAGGAGTGGGAGTTGTCCTGATGGCAGAGGTGGGCAAGTCCCAGGAAGAGGGACAGCCGCCTGACCTTTCCTTTGTGGAAGTCCCTGGGTAGATGAGAAAGAATGAATAACATAGAATGAATTGCCCATTAGATTGAGCAAATGGGAGGGTGCTGGCGACCTTGGCAAGAACTTCACTCTGCACCTAAAGGGTACAGTGCCCTGCACCACTGGACTCCTGATGAATGAATGGGTGGGTGGATCAGAGAATGGACTGGTAGGAATGGGAGCCAGTTTGGAGTGTGGCTTGAGGGTGAGCAGGAGGTGAAGACGTGGAGACAGCACGTGCAGACAGCACTTTCAAGGGGTTTGATGGTTGAAGAGGGAAAAGAGAGATAGAGGTGAAAGTCCCACAGCTGAACTACAGAGGCGGCAGAGAGAAGCCAAGGCCCATGGGCACCTGTGGACAGAGGCTGGGTGGTACAGCCACGGGGTGGCAGAGGCCGTGGCTACCAACCATACCTTCTGCCAGCCCAGGCTGGCCTGACGAAAGTCTGAGGCCGAGTTCAGCCTCACGTGCTGGGGAGGGATGAGGGAGGACATTCAGTATCCATTTGAGGCCACAGAAGTTTCTAGAAGGTGTCATAAGACCTACAATGACTGCTCTCATGAAGTTTGCATATTTCTGGGGAAAGACAGACTGGATACTACTAAACAGATACAGAAGATAATAATCCACAGAGACTGCTGTGAAGGAAGAGAAACAGGATCGATCAGAGAGCAAGGGTGATTCTAGACTGGCTGACCAGGGAAGGCCTCGTGGAGGAGGAGACTGATCTGAGGCCTGAGTAATGAGAAAGAACGGAGTCTGAGGAGATCCAGGGAAAGGGTATTGATGAGGAAGCTGCCAGTGCAAAGGCCCTGAGGTGGGGACAGGCTCAGGAGGACAGGGGGAGGTGGAGCGGTGCCATGCCTCAGCTAACTCCACCTCTCAGTGGCCTGTCCCTTCAGCCACGCACGGCTCACACCACTCGCCTCCGCTGGCAGCGGTTCCTGGCAATGAGATTATTTTTAGACACAACTCTCCTCTCTGTGGGCCCAGAACATACCGTGTCTTTTTAAGATGATCAATATGGAATGGCACTATTTATAGAGACCCCACGTCAACTCCTGAGGCCTGGGACCCCCAGATAGGGGAGAGAGTCCAAGGCCAGGCTTTGTGGGGACAGGCACCACGGCTGGCACAACCTCAGGGACATCTGACATAGATTCTTTGAAACTTGTGTCACCTCCTAGCCTGCACTCGCCTTGTTCCTGCAGTCACGACCATGGGCTGGGGGTCAGGGACCAGAGTGACCAGCAACCTCCTTTCCTGAAGGGGAACTAATGTGGCCCAGCCCTGGCAGAAAATTGATGTGTGCCTGGTGAAGCCACCACCGAGTGGGACAGTTTTCAGCCTCTTCTGCCATCTTCACTGTTTTCTACCTGGGGGTGGGGGGAGAACATCGAGGGCCCTCGCAGTTTCTCAAGTCACCCCATGGGCTGGAAAGCCATCTGCCCAGGACAAGGAGAATGCAGGCCTGGAGTTAGGGGCCCAGCTTCCCTGGGGGTGGTCAGTATCTCCCAGAGCAGCCAGGGAAGGCTTCGTGTAAGAGGAAGGCTCGATCATACCGGCTTTGCAGAGGTGAAAGGGATGCAGTCATGCCTCGGACTGGAGCCTGGCTGTGGAGGATGATTGGAATTTGGTGGTGAATGATGAAAGTATTTGTCTCTGGGCCTGTTATTAGAAGAGAGTGTTTGTACTCTGAGGCCTGCAGCCTTTCTCTCCTCGGTTCCTTCTGATCAAATCTCCCCGGGAGGCAGTAGAAAGTCAGTCCCGGCAGGGGTATTCAGGAGAGAGGGACCAAGCTGCTCCTACACAGCTGCGTGTGTGGGGCA